TTATTAAACTTTATTAATTAATAACACCAGAGGGAGACTTCGTACAAAAGTCGATTGCTTGGGTACCTCTGTCCCATTCGTGTTTCAACCGTGAAGCAGTTGTGTTTGCATGGCTGTGTTTCGATTTGAAGGGTGGGATATGGCGTAAATGTAAATTCACGGGTACAGAGGAATAACACCTGAGTCCTCAGGAATGGCAACGCATGGGGAGTACCAAAGGCGAAACAGTATAGTCTGTTATGTCCATGGTACTGCTCATGTCTATAGGCGACGGTTACCACTTTCCATCAGGTGGACCGTCAGCCTCAGCTTGTTTGCCATTCTAAGTTGAATAAAAAAAAACTTTAATTATCATTTAGAAATACCTGTCGAAAATTGTTCAATTATAATTGACAGATAATGTCTGTTTTTTTTTTACCTACATAATATGTTTTACGGCTCTGGACGCAGATCCTTTTGAGTTTTTAATGAGAGGTGGCAAAATTTAGAACTACGGCCGTCAATCACCCTGAATTTTGCCGTCTCGTTTATGCCATTCTGGGCTCATGTTTTGTTTTTATTTTTTTTATGCAATTTAGAATGACAAACAAGCTAGCACCTGATGGAAAGTAGTAACCGTCGTTTATATATATAAACGTAGACATAACAGAGTATACTGTGTCGCCTATAACACTCCTCATGCTTTGACATTCTTGAAGGCTAAAGTGTTATGCTTCTTACCCTGTAATTTCACTACAATATCCCATCCTTCAAACCGAAATACAGCTGCCTCTTAGTATTAAAACGAATGGGACAGAGGTAACCTAAGCAAACCACTTTGTACAAAGTCTCTATTTAGTCCGAATATCCGGGGGGGAAAGGGATTGTTAGTAATGGAGACTGAGAATCCTATGAGAGCAATATACCCAACCAGGTCGACCTCCTCTCGGTTCCCCCTGGAAACTATCATGGTTAATTCCTGATGAATTCATCATGATGGGCTAACCGGCCTGTTTTCATTCTCATCTATCACCGTTCACTGGTGCTCCGTCAGCGTATCTCGTTAGCGCAGGCGGGGTTACCATACCATTTTCACCCATAAAAAAAGTCTGAATATTCGGTAATTCTATAACATACTGCTCATTACTTCAGATCCACGTGTAGCATTTGGTACACGTTTATGACACTTATAAAACTATTAATTTTCCGCAGCTAATTTATTATATTCATCATTCAATTATTATTCAATATAATAATATTGAACCATAAGCGATATTTGTATTCATGACTAAATTAAAGTGTTGATATACCTCCCCATTACATTATATTTATTTATATTTTATAATAATTTGAATACAATTTCCATTATTTATATTATATTATTATTTATATTGTTAATATCTTTACTCATTTAATAATTTAATTATATTTTAATGTTTGTCAAACACAAGGCATGCTGTGGTTGCCTATAATGTAAGAACGGTGAGATCTGAGCTGCCAGTGTATTGTATTAAAACTTAGCTTTATTGTAGCTGTGTCTTATGTTGGTAATCCTGTAAATAAATAAATAAATAAATAAATAAATAACTGCTCAATTCACTGATTGCTCAGCAGCCAGATATTTATATAATTAATGACAAAATACATATATTTTAAAAATGTTGTTTAAAATTTAATAGTGCGCCACCTACCCTTTGTTTTTTCTTTCTTTTCTCAATGTTCTCTACCCAAAGGTTGTCTGGAAGAGATTGCTTAGCGATAAGGCCGCCTTTTGTATCATTTCTTATTACAGTTAAATGTGTTTACTATTTTATAAATGGTGCAATAAAGTGTACATATATAAATAAATTTTTAAGTTTGTAAAATAAACCCATGGCTCACTATACGTTTTGGGAGACTGTAAGTGTGGTGAGTAATTTTCAAATAAATAAATATATATTGACACAATACAGTCCTACATCTACATCTACACTAATGTTATAAAGAGGGCCACCAGATTCACCATCAGATAAGCTGTATGCTTGTTTGCCACTTTCACGGTATAAAAAACAATTTATTAAAAAAAAAAATTAACATGGCCTGTTAGGCAAACACATTGTTAAAATTAATATTCAAATAATAATAATTTTTATTTGAGAACCCATAAAACGGATCTATTGCCATAATAATAATTGATTTTTGAAAAAAATTAAAAAAAAAAGATTTTGTTAAAAATTTCGTAACTATACATTATATTTTAATGTAATAAGTTACAGCTACTCATGACTAAGGGTCTTAGATGGTTTCGAAACTAAAATACATGTAAGTTGAACCGGTTATTACACGAAAAAAAATTGTTATTTTTTTTTCCTTGTGACGTGAATAAAAAATTGAGCCCCGAAGCATTGTAATCGAACGTTGTAACCCAATTTCATCGCCATCTACCTATTATTGCATAAGAAATGACATATTTGGGTCACCGAAACATATAACTAGGCGATAACTAAAAATTCATAACAGCCGCCAACCGACGGACCGCGCGGTGGAGCGCAGTTTGACATCAAAAACAATTTATTATTTAACTAGCCGCCCGTCCCGACTTTGCACGGGTTAACATTTTTATAACATTTTAAAAAGTGGTTACTGTAATATAACGATAACAAATGGACATATGGTGTCACGATAATTTTACATCTGCATAGGTATTGCGACTCTAATTAGAATTAAGTTCTATTTATATATACTACTAGCTGTTTCACCTAGCGCTGCTCATGTGAATCGGTATATAAAATATCCTATGAGTTTTTTGGATATATAACCTATTCAGCCAATTCAACTGATCGGTTATTTTATAGCATTTTTATGTGATTCTTTAGATTGATATAACTTTTTTATTTGTGGACCGATTGAAATAAAACAAACATTAAATGTTAAGTGTAGCAAACAGCAACGCAGTAATGAACCGCATTCAAATCGGTTAAGCCATTTCTGAGATTAGCGTGCACAAACGTACAGACAAACAGACAAAATTCTAAAAACCATTGTTTTGAGTTCTATTGCGTTTATAAAGCCTCCTATAATAGTTTTTCTTATATATCTTCCATGTACAGACAGCGACCAGTTACGAATTTATTGTATGTATTGATTAAATATAAACAAGCAAACATGAGCAGACCAATTCCCACAAGCGCCACCCGTTCATGAGTATGACAGATGAGCCAGCCATCTTTAAGTTCTACTTAATATATCTCTACCCGAATCATTTACACATAAGTTTATTTATTTATTCAATTCTCTATTGCATCAAAAACATAAAAATAAACAATGACATATAAACAATTCAACTAAAATATAGTAGCGTGAAGTACAGGTTAAAATATACATGTAATTTTCATCTTAAAGCCATATGACTTACAGCTTACAGGGATAGGTGCTGTGCACTATAAGCCACTATATCGTTGGATTTATTTCTAATGTATATCTCTTATCTTTATTCCCGTAGTTTATCTTATATATTTATCACTGTTTTATGTATTATTCTTATATATTTATACATAACATCTCTTGCACACATGTGTCCGTGAGTTACGTATTTAGGGCCTACCGAAAATCAGTGTCGTAGCTTCAGATTTGAAACTGCGACATATGCTGAGTTAGGTCCTTTGCACAAACACTGCTACATTCATTTTGTTTTTTTTTTTATATGTTTTTCTTTTTATTCTAAATTCATAGTAAAATAGTAATGTTATTATTATAATTGGGTAATCTTTGTTATGATGTTGTTTTGTTATATATAATATGTATAATTTATATTATTTTTCTTAAAGAGCGATTGTATTTAATTAATGATATTATTTAAATGAAAAGTTTGTTTAGTGTATGTGTAAATAAATAAATAATTTGTTTCAAGAAAAAATTATAGAATAGAATAGAATAGAAACATTTATTACCATACAATTACAATATAAATAACATATACAAAAAGTGTCCCATACTCGGCAAAAGGAACCGGCTCAGCTGATGCTGTGAGTGTCCCAACGCAATGTGAACAGCTGCACAGCGCTGGTTTTCAGCCAGTCCCTGTCTTAACGAAACAACCAAAGTGCAGGGTACCACTGTACATTACTTTTTACAAGAATTATTTCTCGATACTAATTAAAAAAATACTTTTGTACAAAGTACAAAAGGCGGTGTTATCGCTAGGGCAATCTCTTACAGACAACCGGTACAGTTTACCGTTACGCCGCATCGATTGATTTTTTAATTTCTGACCTGTGATACAAAACATGTGTTATTTGACGGTTCGTGATAGATCTATAAACTAATTATGGGTATTGAATAACTGATACGCCTATAAATACAGGAACTGTAGCAGCCGTCGGTCTCACGCGGACATTTCCTTTTAACTTAGATAAATATAAGTTTATAAAGAACTTGAAATGACTCCCCTACTAGATGGAGTGACGACCTGACGTACATTGCAGGGAGTCAGTGGATGCAGGTGGCTCAGGGCCGTTCTTTATGGCAGTCTATGGAGGAGGCCTATGTCCAGCAGTGGACGGATAATGGCTGAAATGATGATGAATGAGAATTTGTATGTATATTACAATGCTCAATCATAATAAAATGAAAATAAAAAAATTGTCAACAAATTAAAAAAAATATATTTAGAGGTGGGTCACCCTTATCATTGAGGGTATAAAAATAGATGTTTGCTGATTCTCAGACCTACCCGATATGCACACAAAATTTCATAAGAATCGGTAAAGCCGTTTCGGAGGAGTTTGGTAACAAACACCGCGACACGAGAATTTTATATGTTAGATAGAAATTTTAGTTGTTGAAATTAGATACTAGATGGCCTTGTTAATTATGTCTCTCTCTTCTTTTCTTATGTAAGAATTAAAAAAAAAACAATTATTCGCCCATAACACAAAGGGCGTTTACTACGCACGTGTTGCGGTCCTGAAGAGACCATAATATGACCTTTTTGAAGAACCTCATGCTGTAATCTCTATAAAAAGAAACCTTTTAATTTACAGGTAAACGGCGAACGTAATCCTGAAGAGGTCTACAAAGACTTCCGGGCTGCCGTCCTCCAGATCCTGGGGAACTTTGAAGATCAGACAGTTGTCAACGGCGTCAACGGTGTTGGAGTTGGTGCTGATGGTATACCTGGCGAGATAGTGGGAGTGGAGCCGGCGCCGTCTCCGAAGTATCAAGTGAGAGAAAGGGACAGAGGAGACGCCGTCGCACTACCTAGGGTCCCAGTGGCGCCACCTGTCCAAGAAAACAGGAACGAGAGAATTGTTACGCCAAAGGTATCTTCTTATTTTTCTTATACCATCGCTGTTTATTAAATGCCTTACCTTACCTAAGATGGGTATCTTAGGCAAGGTAAAGTAAGGCATCTTCCTTCCATTTTTTAATGGCCGGAAAATGGACTGATAGTGGTAACCTCGTCAAGACTAATTTTAAGCCAGTAATTGACGATGGGTGAGGTCGAACACTTCAATTGGCCCATCGTGACTAATTCATCAGAAATTGACTACCATGGTTTTCAAAAGGATTTAAAGAAGAATTCATATGAGCAAAGTTTGTAAGTAAAGCTATATATGCGAATTGATTTCGGAAATAGTAAAAATAATGAAGTAGATTCTCTCTAGGAAGAAAAAACATATACCAATTTTTAATACATCTGTTAAAGCCACATCTAGTTTGGTATGTTTGGTGTACATACAAACAAATAGATTATTGTTTCGGCTTCTGTAATAATAATAATCTGCCCGCATTGTACGCCGGTTTCTCTTCCTGGTGTCCTGAACACCGGCCGACTGTGCTTCTGCCAGGGTTTTGCCATCTCTCCTTAAGAGGGGGGATGTAAATTTTCCAAAAATAATAATATTAGATTTATTTATTTATTTTATTGTTCTTATTATATAAATATTTCTCATTTATCTCTGATGTACAGAGATAGTTTTGTTACAATTTACAAAGGGAGACTTTGTACAAAAGTCGTTTGCTTGGGTACCTCTGTTCCATTCTAGTTTCAACCGTAAAGCACTTGTGTTTGCATGGCTGTGTTTCGGTTTGAAGGGTGGGATATGGCTACAGAGGAATAACACCTGAGTCCTCAAGAATGGCAACGCATGGGGGGTATCATGGGCGAAACAGTATACTCTGTTATGTCCGTGGTACTGCTCATGTCTATAGGCGACGGTTACCACTTTCCATCAGGTGGGCCGTCAGCTTGTTTGCCATTCTAAGTTGTACTCGTATAAAAAAAATATATTACTAAGATTAATACGAAAGGAATTTAATATAATTTCTATAAATGTTGTCATTTCCCACATATACGAGTATATTGCTCACAGACACGTACCTGCCTACCGTAATCGATATTCACGTACCTATAGGCTATTCAATAAAAAAAACGTATCAGATACTTAACGGAGTGACTTGCCGAAAAAATACGGAGAAATCCAGGGATTGTAGAATTAACTTGAGCGAGAACGGCCACCTGTAATCTATTTTTTTTTTCCATTTGGCATTTAATAATCAAGTTTTTTATCGAATTTAGTTTCTTTAAATCAAAATCAATTTTTGCTTAAAATCAGCTTTCGTTTAGTGCAATTAGTTTAATAAAAAACATAGATATACAACAAATATTGGAAAAAGATACCAAAGAATTCATTTTTTATTACATTTACCTCACCACGTATTTTGTTAGTAATGGGTTTGATGGAGAATAATAAAAAGACATATTGACATTATTTTTAAAACTTAGTTAATTTTTTATTCATTGTTTATATACATAGGTAACGGAAAATTTATAAAGTCACTGTCTTTTTGTCGTTTTTGACAATTGTTTCGACAGAAAGCGTTTCTGTGACACAAAGCGCCGAATGTTCTATGAAAAAGGCTTCCGAATGAATTTGAAATAATTGTCGGAAACGACAAAAATACAGTTCAATCATTCATTTCCCGTTATATACGTACATAGATAAATTTTGTTCAATAAAAACTCCAGGCATTAATAAAAAAAAAGATAATTTTATACTTTTTTAATAATTAAATTAGATACCTGACTCAGGACATAGACTGATCGGCCAAATCTAGTGGTATGTGATCGTTCAACTGTAATCCACACGTCTGGCTATATTTATGGCAACAAGACAATGGTTTAGGATACCTTGACCCGCTAAATTTGGTCCAATTATAATGTTGTCAGGCTTTGAATAAATGTAATGATAAAAATGACTGTGCCGATTTTTATTTTGATATAAACCTAAACAAAGGATTAGCTTCGATTTGGAAATAGAAAATAAAAGACGTACTGCGTTAGATTAAAGTATGAATTCCTATAAATTTTCTATCTAAGCATTTTAAAACGTCGTGCGTACGTATTTGTATTTATTATCATTGTACTTGAGCTTAACTTTCAATTATGATTACGCATTGTATAGTGTAAGCCGTGTGGTCCCGGCATAGAATGGGTCAGGTAGAATTCATAAGAGGCGACTAATGTAACTTAATGGTCGAGGGATAAGCGGTAGCGTCCCTCTTAAAACATAAAAAGCAATGCGTGGCAACTACTGGCAAAACCCCCCAAAGGGCAAGCTTATGTTCTGCTGAACTGTCTACTGATGTAGACAGTTAAAGGCTGGCATGATGATGATTGTATTCTGTAATAAATTATTTTATTTATTTATTTATTCTTTATTGTACACAAAAAAATACAACATATAATATATATAAAATAAAGATGTACAACAGGCGAGCTTAACTCTGTAAGAGTCCTCTTCCAGCAAACCCTGAGTGGAAAGGAGCATTAATTACCAGCGGGCGGTGTGCGTACAATAATAATTATGAATGAATGAATGAATGAGTATACTTTATTTGCATTATACAATATAGGATATAAACAAGACAATTTACAAACATAACGATACAATTGTATAAGTACAGTAAGGCGGTCTTATTGCTGAGAACAAACTTTTCAAGACAACCTTAAGGTAATGGACTAATTGTTGTACAAGTAGGTATAATAGTGCTTTATAATTAAAAAAGCATCTTTTGCAGATTAAAAATATATAAAAATTATATACATATATACACACATATATACACAATCACATACATATATACATGTATGTGATTGTGTATTATTATTATGTATACAATTATGTAATATACGAGCCAGTATGTGCAAAAAGCAGCCAGCATTCCAATATACCGATATCTGAATATGAAACTGCATTGTAAATTATAAATAAATAAAATAAATAAAGTATTTAATTTCGGACACTATGGCAAAAAGAAAATACTTCTGACGATATGATTGGATAGGGAAAGGAATGATCGATAATGGGGTCAAACAGTTCCATTTTTTTTCTTGATGAGTGAAAATGGTATGGTAACCCCGCCTGCGCTAACGGGATACGCTGGCGGAGCGCCAGTGAAGGGTGATAGATGAGAATGAAAACAGGCCGGTTAGCCCATGATGGTGAATTTATCAGGAATTAACCATGATAGTTTCCAGGGGGAACCGCGAGGAGGTCGACCTGGTTGGCTTTATTATTATTGGAAATTGAATTGAAAATTATATATTAGTAATGGAATTCTCAGTCTCCATTACTAACAATCCCTTTCCCCCCCAAACAGTTCCATTATTAGCAATATACCGTAACAGGTCGAATTCCTTGCGGTTCCTTTGGACACCATCGTGGTTAATTCTCGTGGAATTCATCAGGATTGGCCAACTGACCTCCTTTTATCCTTATGCATCATCTCTCACTACTGCCTCGCCAGCGTAGGCTAGGGTTGCCATTCCATTTTCAACCATAAACCAAAGACACCATGATTCGATGAAATTCTAAGTTCGAATCCCATTGAGGGGCTTTGTCGACTGTTGTTTCTATGGTGTACGTAAATAATAATTATATCTGTATTAATATTTACATATATTTATTTTATTTTTATGCAACGTAAAAAGACAAAAATATCGGCTATGTGTGACAAAGGTATCCAAGCAAGTATCTAAGAAGATGACTTTTTTCTAATTAATATCAGAGGAAATTTCTAAAAAATTATTTACATTTCTAAATAGAAAATATAATAAAACTGTATATGATTTGCAGCCTGAGGTGATCAGGGTACGAGGTGCGGTCACCCACCCGACCACGGTATGGGTGGTCGGCGGACCAGGCAGCAACAAAGCGACACTGTGCCAACGCGCCGTCAACCAGCGCCAGGGGTGGACACACTTTAGGTAAGGCTCCACGGGTCGCTACATTAAAATAAACGAGTTAGGCATGAAGGATGCTATGGCCATGATAGTGTATTCAGCAATGCCCATGGTGCTGTTCATGTTTATATTATTTATTTCATAAACTCTATGAGCTTTACTGTCTCCCAATACGCTCACCCAGGAAAGAATCAGTGTAATAGATAGATAGATAGATAGATACTCTTTATTGTTTCCTCCAAAAGATTACAATAGTAAACTTATTATAAATATAAATTTCGGCCTTATCGCTAATAGCGATCTCTTCCAGGCAACCTTTGGATGGAGAGGAGTAATTATAAAAAATTTGGTGGGAGGCACGATGAAAATAACATATATAAAAAAGGAATAACACAAATAAAAGGAATAATATTAAAAAAAATATTTATCATATAACATTAAATTTTAAATCTCTGAATACTGGAAATAATGGTTTAGTAACCGCCTGTACTGTCGGTATACGCTGGAGAGCACCAGTGAGTGTAGATAGCTGAGGATGTAGATAGACAGGTAGATCATTTATTTGCATTACTTACAGCACACAAATAACAATACAAACATAAATAGTACAGACATACACGATAAAAAGAGATAAAAGAACGAAAAACGAAAAAAAAGTAACAAAAAAAGCAAATATATAAAACAACAATTTCCTTCTTTCATGCGTGTGCCATGGTAACACAAAATGGTCACAACTCAGTTTATCGCTTTGCCCTCAAAAGAGCAAAACACTGATATTCTGCTGTCATCAAGAGCCAGTCGCTGCCTATAAAACCTGGCGTACGTCTTATCTTGATACGTAATCTACGGACGAAGTTGCAGGCAAAAGCTAGTCATAAATAAACATTGCGATATTTGTACACAGCCTCGGCCAGCGCCTGCGTACGCTGGCGGACGCTGGCGGTGGTCCGGCGTCGGACGGCGCGCTCGCCCGCTCGGCCGTCAGCGGCGGCGAGCTGGCGCCCAACGACCTGGTGCTGAAGCTCGTCAGGGCGGCCGTCACCGACGCGGCCAGGAGCGGACACGGGCTCGTCCTGGATGGCTACCCGCGGGACTTGGAGCAGATGGACAATTTCCAGAGAGAAGTTAGTTATTCTTCTGTATTGTAACTGCTGTTTGGTCGTGTGGTCCCGGCATAGAACAGACCACCCCTTCCTTTTTAGTGGTTGTCGTAAGAGGCAACTAAGGGAGGGCGAGGGATGGGTAGTAGCGTCCCTCTTAAAATATCTTTAAACTCTGACTGTGGTTGCCAATCCGCCTGCCAAGCGTACCAACTATTGGGAAAACCCCCCAAGGGAGAGGCTTATGTTCAGCAGTGGGCATTTAAATGTAATTGTTTATATTGACTTTACTCACGTTTCAAAGTTCTGGGATGCTCGACTAGTTTCGTACTCGATAGGAGCTCTTATTCATGAGCGCGTTTCTTCGCTTCTTGCGACAACTATGGAAGCTATGTCGCAAACAGCACTACGCCACCGTCGCGTTGTTTGTCGCAATATTTTATTATATCAATTATTGTTTATCCACAGCTGAAGATAGATTTTCTCCATAAGGGAGCTTTTTGCCAGTAGTTGCCACGCTTGGCAACCGCAGTTAGGCTTTTGGTGATGTTTGAAGAAGGATGGTGTTCATCTCTTGACCATTATGTTCCCTTAGTCGCCTCTTACGACACCCACAGGAAAAGAAGGGATGGCCCATTCTATGCTATTGTTTCTCACCAGTGGGCGCATATTGTTTTTCTCTTAACTCTTCAGAGTTCTAAAGTTCTTTCATTATGAATATATTTTTTGTAATTGCTTCTTCTCTATTTCCAGTTCCGTGTGTCCCCACGCATGGTGCTCTTGGACTGTTCCAAGTTGCAGCTGGGGCGTGGCAGGCGTGATGACTCCGTGGCAGCGTTCAGAAGGCGCCTCGAGGTGTTCCGGGAGCTCAGTCTGCCGATGCTGAAGAATTTGGATCAGCATCATAGACTCGTTATAGTGAGTACATACATAGATGAGTCCTATCTTAAGTGCGTTGGACTTTAGTACCTTAGTACTTAGTTATCAGATAGAGACTTTGTAAAGTCGTTTGCTTGGGCACCTTTGTTCCATTCGTGTTTCTACCGTTAACAGTTGTGTTTGCATGGCTGTGTTTCGGTTTGAAGGGTGGGATATGGCAGTGAATTTACAGGGTACAAAGGAATAACACCTGAGTCCTCAGGAATGGCAACGTATGGGGGGTATCATGGGCGAAACAGTATACTCTGTTATGTCCATGGTATTGTTCATGTCTATAGGCGACGGTTACCACTTTTCATCAGGTGGGCCATCAGCTTGTTTGCCATTCTAAGTTGTATAAAAAGTTAAAGTTAAGTATAAATTGACATCAATAAATGATTTATCAGGCTTTAACTTTATTTACGAAAGGTAATAGAAATAGGTCGATCAAAAATAGTTTTAATTTATCTTCAGTTTGACTTTTGTATTTTTTTTTTTTTTATTTCTAAAGGAAATATTTAAATTCATGTTCCACTCGTATTACTGCCGTGAAGCAGTTGTGCCTGCATAGCTATGCTTCAAGTTTGAAGGGTGGGATACAAGAATTAAATTATGGGATACACAGGCATAACATCTTGAAAATGAGTGCCATGTGAAGTATATTTATTCTCTAAATCCCCTTGCTGTCAACTTTTTAATTTTAATTAAAGTTTGCCTTTCTAAATTGCATAAAATAAAAAAATTGATCACTAATGTATTATTATCAGGTGGACGGTGATACTGACTCGGAAGACGTGCAGACTGAATTCACGAGGGTACTGCTTGAAGAGATGGAGAAGGCTGAGGCGCTGGCAGAGATCCCACAGTCACCCCCAGAGCCTGTAACCCCTCCACGCACAGGTAGATAGCACCTTCTAATAATGACAATCATAACTTGATTAATATTAGGAAATAGTTGATTTTTTCTCAAAAAGGTTAATTTTTTTTTTAATTGATTGCACAGGAAAAAAACTAGTATAAAAATAACCGTCTAAAATGCCTTAAACGGCGAATCTGGTCAGGTACTTAATTTTTTTTTTTTTTTATTAACATCAGCTATAATAATTTATTCAAATGCAAATCATTTATTGTACGAATATGGGTACATACATTAGATGAAAATAATAATTACATGTCCATTATTCCATATTCTACCATATCGGCGTGCACAATATAAAATTAAAGTAATAATAGCTTATAACAATAAAAACAATGTTAATAATAAAATGTAAAAAAATGTCAATAAAAGTAATTAAATTGCATGTCTAATATTTATCATTGTAATAGTCATGTAACGTATAGTAACATTTGGCTGTCAAATATTCTTTTGCTTTTTTCTTTAATGGTTATTACGATGTTGTCATATAACATTTTATCTGTATTCATAGTATCTTTGGTCACCGATAGGGTTGCCAACTCTTCATATACGGATATGCGGGAATTCAGTGATATTTGTACATACTGTATATGCAGGACTATACCAAAAAATCGAGATCTGCCTATAAACGAGAGAAAAACAATAGTCATAATTTTGAAAAGAATTAATTAAAATTTTAAATGCAGTTAAATTAAAAATAAAAATAAACTCTTCGTTATTATGGAATAAAGAAAATGAAAACATTGTATTGTATTGTAAAATCTTTATTGTACGTAATTCATACTGAACACATTAAATGTTTCAATACACAATGGCGGACTTATCCCATAAAGGGATCTCTTACAGTCAACCTTTGAGAAGCTGAAAGAAAACTGTAGAATGTACAAGGGCAATAACCGTACAGCTAAAGATAAACTAAATAATACTCAGTAAAAAATGGAATATATAATACAATAAAAACAATTTGGCTCTTCTCAATTCGGCTGCCTTTTTTTATATCTCTTACCTTATAAGTTCGTTATTTATAAACCGAATTAGAAATTTCTTTCTTTGCCTAAAACGATACACTTTCAAATTGGTCCCATAAATATTTTATCAAAACCGATTCGGTAGTTTAGATTTTAAATCAAAATAACAAGTTTTTCTTAATTGAGGCCTGCCGAGGTTTTCCCAAGAGACTATAGCATGGGGTTTTTTAAAAAGAGGTTTCTTCAGGGTCGGCAACACGCTTGTAATACCCCTGTTATTGCAGGCGTTCATAGACTCTGACAACCACTTACCATCAAGTGGGCCGTATATGTTTAATTGCCACCTCATTGGTATAAAAAAAGGTCGGGTTTTTTCTGGAATACAGTCTTAAATTGTTATGTTAGCAACGAATAAATGCAATGAACCGAATACTGTAGATATGTCGGCGGTGCAGCAGTTCGCCCACGCGATGTCCCGCATGGGCGGCGCGGTGGGCACCGGCGTCCCCAACGGGTACGCGAACGGCGCGCTTCGCAACGGCAGCCTTCAAAATGGGACCCTGCCCAATGGGACAGCTAACGGCTTCATCGGATCCAACAAGGTGATTTTCTATACTCTATAATTTCTTACATGGGTAAGCGTATTGGGTCTCCCAAAAGCAAAGCTCATCCAGTTGATGAAATAAATAAATAAATATTGGATAATACATTTTTTTAAGGTCTCGTCATAGAATGGGCCACCCCTTCCTTTCCTTTTTTTTATACAACTTAGAATGGCAAACAAGCTGACGGCTCACCTGATGGAAAGTGATGACCGTCGCCTATAGACATGAACAGTACCATGGTCATAACAGCGTATACTGTTTCGCCCATGATACCCCCCATACGTTGCCATTCCTGAGGACTCAGGTGTTATTCCTCTGTACCCTGTAAATTCCGAATTAAACCGAAACACAGCTATGCAAACACAACTGCTTCACGGTAGAAACTCGAATGGGACAAAGGTACCCAAGCAATCGACTTTTGTACAAAATCTCCCTCTGCTAAAATTCCTTTTTCTGTGCGTGTCGCAAGACTAAGGAAATTTATGATGGAAAGATGGGCAGCAACGTCTCTCTTAAAACATAACCAAAAGCCAAACTGTAGTTGTCAACCCGCCTGCCAAGCATGGCAACTACTGGCAAAACCCTCCATTAAACAATCTATATATGTATATACACATATTCATTTCTTGTAATTGTTTATATCTGTAATAAGTTTACTATTGTAATCTTTTGCAGGAAACAATAAAGAGTATCTATCTGTCTATCTAATTCTGAACACTTTTTATATCTTTTTTCAGATAAAACCCATAATGAATATGAACAATGTAACAAAAATACCAACAATATCACAAATGACCCAGGACGATGTGCGGCGCTTGTACGAACAGAGTTCGGGCGAGGTTACTATGAACACTCATATGTAGTTTGTGGCTTAGTTTATAAGTGACTATTAACTAGCGAATATATTGCAAGTGACACTGTGAAAAATGTAGTTAGTGAATACGAAAATGAACATTATAACAATGTAATTGTAATCCGTACATAGAAATACATAGGATGATAGTACACGACTAAGAGATATTGATACATAACTAAGATAATTTGATACACAACTAAGAGAGGTCGATACACAACTAAGGGAGGTTGATACACAGCTAAGAGAGGTTGGTACACAAATAAGGGAGTTTGATACACAACTAAGAGAGGTTGGTACACAACTAAGAGATGTTGATACACAACTAAGAGATGTTGATACACAAATACAAAAATTAGAGAAACTAAAAAGAATGGCGTCCATAATATTTATAAATCACATATAATATTATTGTAGTGTTAATATTACGTAAATGAAATCTGTCAAATTGAACACACGGTATGAAATACCAGCAACGGTCTCTAAGAGACAACAAAGTGCCGAAATATCGTTATATTTAATATAGATAAGTACTTGTTTAAGTATCAATTAAGAATTTTGAAAAATTGCGAAATATTAGTTATCGAATTATAGAATTTTATGTATAGATAATTAAGGTAAGATAATGTAATATTAAGTTTTATTTTCTCATAGATTTTAAGTGGATATTAAGTATATTTTTGTTTATAGTTTATGTGTACTTGCCTACTGTCGATTTCATTTTATATGGTAAGTAGATAGATACATAAAAAGATAAACAATTTATTTGTTTGTCACAGAACGCAGACAATTATAATATTAATAGAGTGAAATAACTAAACCTACTTATCTTGAATTAAAAAAAAAATTGGTGTTGATTCCTTTGTGCCACACGATATTGTATGAATATTTTCTATAGAAATATAAAAAATGTAACTAAAGAAGGTCTAATCAACTATAAAAAAAAATCTTTACAGCGGAATAAAATGAGGTCAATTGAAAGAAATTTCTTCAAGGGATCAATCCGCCTGTGAACATTTTTGTTAGAACCTGGTATTTATATTAAAAGTGAATATACAAAAAGCATTTAAATAAATAAGTTCACTAACGTGACACTTCCGTGGATTCTAAGGGGTCGCTTTTTTAAATTATTTATTAAATGAAAATAAATTTCTGATAACCCTACAACCTATCCGGAGTCTGAAGGGAAGAGGACTAAATTTTGAGGGCCTTAGGATCGATTCTGAAGAGCCTTTAAACTTATCACTTCATACTTTTAATTTTATAATTTTTGAAAATTACTGTTTGATGGACTATTTTGAATTAAATTTGTAATAATTTCAACTCAAATCTATTAGAAATTTAATTTATATTTGTCTTTAGGATAAAGATTTAGGTGTGATATCAAATTGAAATTTTAATTTGAAAGATAGGTTTAGAAAATTGTCGCCTCAGAATTGTCATTTCCAAAACAAAGAATATGCTCGTTGCTTCTAACCAATGTATTTATTTCTTACGTCACAACTCAAAACACTCATTTCAGAGACAATCAATTGACCTTAATTTCTCGCTATGTCTTATCAACGCCTGTAGAAGTCATCAAAGTCATCGTAAGCGGTCAAGTACGGACATTGATCATAGACTTCAATTGACCTAATTTCCCAATTTTTTTCCTAACTGGATACCAGCAAACTGTCTATGGTCGAGTCAATTATTTATTTATTTATATTTTCTTTTGAAACAGACTATAGCTGTATATTGTTGATCTTTATTATCTGTATCTTTGTTTGAATGGAACAATAAAGAGTTTTCGTTCATTCATTCATTCCATACATTCAGAGAAGCGCAATGAAGCATGGTGCATGTGACAGCTGACATTTTGACAATTATACTATAAAAAATTTTTTTGACAATTTCAACTGACTTCAAAAAAAGAGGTACGCAATTCGTTTGTATCTTGTTTTTATTTATTGTTTTATAACTCCGTCATTTATATACCGATTTGGAAGATTCTCTTTTTATCTGAAACGATACACTTTCAGATTGGTGTCATTAAAATTTTACTAAAATAGTTTCAGTAATATAGTTTTTAAATACAAATAACTGGTATTGTCGGTTTTTTTGTGGAATCTTCTCTTAAATTATACTATTATTCTAGTCATATTAGGAAAGTTACTTTATTAAAGTTAAATCCGAAATGTACGTAAGTTTAATAAATTTTTCACTATTGAATCCATTATGGTTAAAAATGGCATTGTTGTTATCGTTTCAGTTTTAACCTGTCACCCGCAGTACGCTGTAGTGTTGTCTAGACATAAATACCTACAGTTAATACCGAGAGGATATCTATTTTCATTAAATTTTAACAAGTTTATAAGAAACCGGAATTAATACGATTATATAGATAAACTATGATAATTTACCTGAATTATAGTTAAAATATGTTACCTCAATAGATTGACACAATTTGTGTGGGTAGAAGAAAAAACTTTTATCTCGGAAGCGGAGACATGACAGCGCTACGTCAGTCTACTCGTGACCACGGCCCGTGTAACACGTGGGGTTACTCTTAAAATAAATTATAACAAATATTAGAATTGAGACTTTTTACACTTTCGAATTGTAACACTAGCGACATCTGGTAGATGCATTTTTTTTAATTGGTGGAAATGGAATGGTATTCCCGCCTGCGTTATCAGTATACGCTGGCGGGACACCAGTGATAGATGATAGGTGAAGATGAAGGCAGGTCAGTTAGCCCATCGTGAAGAAATCATAAAGGATTAACCACAATGGTTTCCAGAAAGAACCGCGTGGAGGTCGACCTGATAGGGTGTATTGTTAGCAATGGGCTTAGGTGCATATTAGTGCAACTTGCCAATGCAAACTATTGTAAACGATCTCAATTTTAACTTAATTCTTAATTGTAGTTTCATGAGTGTTGTACAAAATTGTAATTGCGAATAGAATGGGTTGTTACCAATATTAGATTCAAGAGTGTGGCTGCTGGTCGAAACGTCAAGGTCATTATATCAACTTTTAACTGTCCACTGAACATAAGCCTCCCCCTGGGGGGGGCCTTGGCAGTAGCTCCCACGCTTGGCAGGCGGATTGGCAACCGCAGTTATGCTTTGGAGATGATTTAAGAGGGACGCTGCTGCCCATCCCTGCTTTTACGACACCCATGGGAAAGGAAGGGGTGGCCTTTTCTATGCCGGGACCTAAACGGCTAATGATAATTCAGGTAAATTGTCATAGTTTCCCGTCTCTTGTAAACCATGAAACATGCAGCGCGAAAATCTAAAAGTTTTTTATTAACGATTTAATAAATTAAAGGAAAATATTATATAACTTTTTTTTTTTAATATTTAAATATTTAATGTAATGTAAATGGATGGACCACATACAAATTATGAATAAGTACCTTTCTAATTTATAAAATTAGATTTATTTATAAAACAAACGCACACATATCTTTAAGGAATTATTTAAAATAAAATAATTAAATTAATTTTTATTAAAATAATATGTTTATATGTATGTAACTCGATTATTATTATATTAATAATAATATTGCACTGTTGTAATAAGAAAATAAATTATATATTACTTAATTGTAATTTTCATAACCTAATTTTCTGTATAATTTTATTGTTATGTATATTTAGGTTAATTATTAAATTATATCACTGTACTTGAAAAAAAAAATCTTAGAAAATATGTACGTCTGTTATACAAGTGTTTATTTGAAATTTATAATTTTAACATGTTCATATATACATATATATATATATATATGTATATATTAAAATTTTACAAAAATTTAAATGTTTGCACTTTTATACGCAATTTTATTCGTGCCGTCTGTGCGTATAGAGTAATTGTCAATCGAATTATATATAATTATATTCTCTATAGAGAACAACAAATTAGCGTATCTAGTCATTATTAAACTGTCTAATCTACGAGATAACACGAATGTAGATAGTAATAAGTACTTTGACCTATCAGTGATGTATGATTTATTATAATTTGTACTATTTTTATAGTACCATTGGTTAATAGTACGTTTCACATCTAGATGGAGCGTGGGTGTCCAGAAACGTCACGAAAACCTTCAGCCAAATGTTGACTGAAGTGAAACTCTAAAAGTATAGTTCTGATAATGTAATAAATACATAGGCGTATTTAAAGGGGGCGAGGGGCGGATACGAGTGGAGTTTTTAGCAATTTGCAAAAAAAGTGCACAATAAGATAATGCGTCTTTTTAAGCGGCCAGCTCCCACCCCCTCTCGCTAAAAAATAATCTTAAATACGCCAGTGAATAGAAATAAATAATAAAATGATGGTTTGTATTATAAAATACATAATTTAAAAGATTGGCATACTACTATACTACTACATAAAACACGCCATTTTTAAATTGTTGCTGTTTTTGTCAAAATATTTGTAAAAAAACGTTCTATCTAGATGTAATTCATCTAAAATAATACATAAAGCAATAATTGTTTGTATCACATGCAATTAACATTCGTTTTGTTAATTCATTCATTCCTTTTGTAACAGCATTATTTTTTTTATTTCTTTGCAGCTTTTACTGGTTTTCTCTTAAAAGCCAATTATGAAATGAAAGCAATTCAAAAATAATAGTAGAAAAATAAAAAAAGAAGCTATCAAAAAGGCTGTGTTGTATATTTGAAATATTTGTCTTTACAATTGTAGCTCTCGAATGTAGATTTGTTGCGTTTTTATTTGATAGTTTCATCTAGATAATTCTAATCAATGATAATCAGAGCGGATGTAGTGTGAGTTGCAGAAATATTTACGATACAACTACATTTATAACGTTAAAGTCTATTAAATTAATAAAATAATGATTTCGGAAACTTTTGTTTCCATACAAAGTCAATACAACTCACACTAAGCACCCATACTATAATCAGCGTGAAATGATGATATTTATTTTAAATTTACGGCTCGGAGATCTAGTTTAGACTGAAATGAATTGTATGCACCGAGACTCTAGAACCTTGATTCGTGAAAACAGATCATTTAAATCCGAATTTTTTTTTTTTACTTGTTCAGCAATAAGCAAGTACGTATGTTGTAGATATTGTACGTATATAGCTAGGTATGTATATCACGTAGTTATAATATCACAAATCAGGGGCCAATCTAGATTAAAGCATAGACAAAATAAATATTAGAATATTGACACTTTTTCACGTTACGTTAACATGTAAACAACATGCACCACTTTTATACGATATTAATTATTAGTCTGTGAAGAGATTGTTCTAAATATGGCGTTCAAAATATGTATTTATTTATTATAACTTTCCTACGAAACAAGTACAGGTGAAATGAATTTTGTTATTTTAAATTCGGGGCTGTTATAATAATAAAATGTTTCAATAAATTTATTTGATAAAAATTATAAATGTATACAAATTTATATAATATATTTATATAATATTTATATATATAATATAATATAATATTTATAAAATGTAATAAACTTACTTTCACATATGTTTTATCTGCTTATTACCTATCTATGAAAACAAGATCAGTTTTTTTTTCTCTATTCGTCTGTACTTGTTTGATTATACTGGAATGACCAAATTATAAGTAAATAAACATAAAAAAAAAAACACTTAGATTGATTATGTGTTTGTAGAATTTGTTTACAATTTTGAAATAAAGCACATTATTTTGTATTTCAAATATGTTTTATTTGTTTCTATCAAAACTCAGTGTTTGCTTTTTTTTACATAAATGAAGAAAATCTATTTAAATATACTAATTCGCGAGCATATTTTAGTTACAATATTACTTGGCCTTAGAGCAGGATTAAAAAAATTTATCTACTAACTAGCTCGTCAAATGTAGTCCTGCCCCTACCGCCATCTACAGGGTTTTTTTTTTATTATTAGGATAAAAACAATCCTATCTCTTTGTTGGAGCAAGCAATAAATCTTTACAGAAATTCATTTAAATCGATTGACCCGGTCGGAAATTAGCGTAAACGAAAGCTGTGATTCGAAATTTTTATATTCACAATAACGTTCGTATTATGTCACCTACAGAGGGCCGGTCGCGCCCTCCTTTCAGCGCACGTTATTTTCCCGCCGCACTGAAGTTTCCCGCGCTGTCAGCGGCGGATTATTGGCTGCCTGGCACAATTTCCTTGCCCTTGACCGACAACGGCATACCGCAGTTCGGCGGTATACCTCGCGCTTGGTGGACGTTCTGTGAGTCGTTTTAAAATCGATCACCCAATTGGATTTTTCGCGCTTTTTTAAAATAAAATGGTAAGTTTATTTTATTTTAACGTTATAGAACATTTGTTTGTCTAAATCTAAACAACAGTGCCGTGTTATTTTGGGAAAAACCTAATGAGAGATAAAGTTACAATCTTTTTTTCTATTTAATTAATTTTCATGATTGGGTCATTTAGAAACTTAAAATTGTTTCACTTTCAGATATTTTATATCAATTATATTTGAAGATTCAAATATCTTAAAATATGGTTATTAAGTTAATAAATGAAATTTATTTTATTCGATTTTTTATAATTTACATAATAGATTATTTGAATTGTATCGCGTTTATTTTGATAATACTTATTCATTATCAATGTCAATGACCTTGAAACAAAGCCAAATCGCATTTATTTGTAACCTTCTCAAAATAAAGATCTCTTAGAAAACGTTTGACATGTCGATTTACGTAACACTAGTGTTGTACCACACCTCTGTAGTTTGATATCTTTAAATGAGATATAAATATAAACTATTCTTAAAAAAAAAACGTAACTGTAAATTTAGTCTGTGGATAGCTGAATGATGCGTGTGTGTTTATAATGGTGTTAGATTTATATCACCATTCCCTTGTAGGCTCACACGTCTCCGGTTGATACAACCTGAACTACAACCTCAACGAACGAAATTCCTTACAAACACTAATGCAAGATGCAATAATGATACTAAGACTCCTATTAACATATCAAGTGTATGAAACATCATGATTGTGCATTTCTAAAAATATATTGAATTAACAGACTTGTGTCGAACTCAGCAGTTCAGTTATAACTAGACATCTGAAAACACATACATTGATAAACAAAACTCAATGGTTTAAGTACCTAGTTGTTTCCTATCAAGAATTGTGATCGCGTTGTGATAAACGATTTGTGGCGGGAAAATGAATGGAACAGAAATATTTTTAATTAAACAGACTTATTTAAAATACACTATCGGAACTTAAGTCGACGCTATTGCTGGTAAATAATACCTATATATTAGATTTTTATTGCCGTCGCGTATTTGAAATATGTATCAACAATGCGAAAGTTTATATTTAACTATTAAATAGACTTGTTTACAAGCTCTTTTAAATCGTCTCTTCGTCTCTGTTTCATTATTATACCGCTAGGTTCGGAATGTGGTTATTCTTTTTTTTTTTATGGGTGTTAATGGAATGGTAACCCCACCCGCGCTATCGGTATACACCGGCGGAGCACCAGTGAAGGATGATAGATGAGGATGAAGCAGGTCAGTTAGCCCATCGTGACGAATTCAACAAGAATTGTTCACGATGGTTTCCAGGGGGAACCACATGGAGGTCGACCTGATAGGGCATATTGCTAGCAATGTCGAACTCCATTGCTAACAATCCCTTTCCCCCCGAATGTCGTTATTCATTGAGAAGAACCCGCAAGAAACTTAACACTGACTCTATTCAAATAAATTTATATACAAAATCATTATAAATTTGTATAGGTTAATTGAGATACACATTTTTTTTTAATATAACTTATCGTTGCTGAGCAAAGGACTGCCTTCTATCCTTCTTTATAATTTAAATTAATATGTTGGAATCAAATATTGTTTATTAATGAAAACTTTGTACAAAAGTCGTCTGCTTGAATACCTTTGTCCAATTCGTTTTTTTGTGTCGTGAAGGAGTTGTGTTTGTACAGCTGTGTTTCGGTTTGAAGGGTGGGATATGGCAATGAATTTTATAGGGTACAGAGGCATAACATTTAATCCTCAGGTATTGCGACGTATGAGAAGTATGACACAGTATACTCTGTTATGACTATGATATTACTCATGTCATAAGCGACGGTTACCACTTACCATCAGGTGGACCGTCAGCTTATTTGTTATTCTAAGTTGCATAAAAAAAACAGCATCTAAATATTTAGTCAATATATCGATTCCAGATTTACAAATATGAATATTTAATATAGGAATTTAGAATTCCCAAATATAGGGTTTACGTATTTTAAAATAATTTTAAACTATATATTATATTTTTATTATATGCTACTTTTATAATATTATATTTCTGCTTGATGTTAAATTTTTTAATGTTACATTTATTGTCTGAAAATGGCATAGACAATAGAGAGCATTCAACTAAATTAGGTATGCATTCGTTTCTAACTGGCCAGTGACGTACGTAGTCATGTGCCGAAATGTTCTAACAAATACTGTATAAAAAAACACTCTAGACACGAAGTTTTACACAGTAAATAGATATTATATTTTATTTACGCCTCACCTGTCTGGACAGTTTTAAATATAGTTCACTAGCTTTTGCCTGCGACTTCGATCGTGTGACCATCTCGGTGTTCAATGATTTCATATATTTATAGTAGGTAATAGGATAATTATTTAATACAATTATCTACATAAATTGTTTTGCTTCCTTTTGTGTTGTTTAATTTTTTTAAAGACTTCTGTGAGGTTTTTGATGTCTAAATAATTTTTTTTTATACTACTTTGATAGCAAACAAGCATATAGCCCGTCTGATGGTAAAAGGGTTTTTTTTTATGGGTTAAAATGGTATGGTAACACCCCCCCCCCCCCCCCCCCCGCCTGCGCTTACGGGATATGCTGGAGCACCAGTGAAAGGTGATAGACGAGAATGAAAACAGGCCAGTTAGCCCATCATGATGAATTCATCAGGAATTAACCATGATAGTTTTTAGGGGGAACCGCGAGGAGGTCGACCTGGTTTGGTATATTGCTAGCAATGGGATTCTCAGTCTCCATTACTAACAATCCCTTTCCCCCCGGTAAAAGGGGTTACCGTAGCCTATGAATGCCTGTAACGCCAGAGCTGTTACAGGTGAAGTTGTTAAATAATGTTTACCAAAATAGTCCCCGCTCAGCGTTATACTACAGTCGAGGAGTTACAGCGCTAATTTTCAGCGGGAGTCCTTCGGGTAGGACTTCATCATGTTATCATCTCAGCCATTCTCTTTCCACTGCTGAATATAGACTGCCATAAGGAACGATCCTTAGCCACCTACATCTACCGACTCACTGCAATGCATTTGAGGTTGTTACTCCATCTAGTAGAGGGTTGTCCAATACTGCATTTCCCCTATGCGGTCGTCACTCAAGAGGCTTTCTTCCCCATCGGTTGTCGGTTCTTCGAGCTATGTGACCAGTCCATTGCCACTTCAGCTTGCTTATCTTTCGAACTATGTAGGTGATATTGGTTCTTCTGCGAATATCCTTAATTCGCATTCTGTCACGCAAAAAAAACTTCAAGAATAGCCCTTTCCATAACTCACTGAGTACTTTAAAGCTTTTGCATACTGTTATGGATGACGGAATCAAATAGCCTCTAAAGAACTACAAGTACCGTTTTTCTATCTGCTCTCAGAACCTCTTGCTATCGGGTAGGGTTTTTTTTTTTTTAATAAATTGAAGATTTTTTTTCAAATTACCAGAGGGAGCCTTTGTACAAAAGTCGTTTGCTTAGGCACATCTGTCCCATTCGTGTTTCTACCGTGAAATACGTGTAGTGTATTTGCATGGTTATGTTTCGGATTTAAGGGTGGGCATTGAATTTACAGGGTACAAAGTAATAACACCTGAGTCCTCAGGAATGGCAACGTATGGGGGGGTATCATGGGCGAAACAGTTATGTTCACGGTACTACTCATGTTTATAGGCGATGGTTACCACTTACCATCAGTTGGGCGTTCAGCTTGTTTGCTATTTTAAGACTACCCCTTAGGGTTTTGTTAATAGTTTCCATGCTTGGCAGGCGGATTGGAATTCTTAGACTTTAGAGATGTTTTAAGAAGGAGGCTAGTGCCCATCCCTCGCCCTCCCTTAGTCGCCTCTCACGTAACCCACAAGGAAGGAATGATATCTCATAATATTGAACAATTATATATATATATATATATATATATATATATATATATATATAGTATAGATTATGTAAGTAACTAAGCTCATAATTCACATACAAATATTGGCAATGTACTAAATTGCTATACAAGGTATTGGTGACCTTGACCGCCATCAAGGTCACCAATACGTTATTTAGATGCGGCAAATTTTTCATTTCCGTTACGAATACTATCAATGATGATATTAGTCAAAGTAATCATTTTGCGATGATGTTATCGGAATGCAGTAAGGTGATAAGGAATCATGTAATGTAGGTACATGTAAGATTGTGTTGTACAAACAAACCGACTTCAATTACGGCAAAGCCATTCATTTTGATTTAAAAACTAAATTATTGAACCGATTTTGGTTAAACTTCTATGGGGCCAGTCTGTAATCATATCCGTTCAGATAAAGAAAGAATTTTCCAAGTTGATTTACAACTGGCGGAGTTATGAGGCAATATTACGGAGCGGTGGACTGTGATGAGGCGATGAAATGATGTAGACACCGAATTTAGTAGCGAAACAGATGTATTAAACAGCGAGCGAGGAACAGGACAATATGATGTATGTAAAAAAATATAAAATTTAAATTACAAATAATAAGAACATTCTAAAAGTAAATATACATTATAGTGTTTTGATTGCTTAAGCAATCAAAACACTATAATGTAACAAAAAACTTTCAAATTTACAATACTAGTAAGGATTTATGTGTACGTCAGCGTTGTAATGTTGGATGTTTTTTGAAATTTTGGGTAAAATTTTGATAAAATGGAGTAAGTAATGAAAAAGATAACGCGGTCGTTTTTTCGTAAAATAAGTAGCCTATGTCCTTCCTCGCGGTTCAGTGGATTTGATGTAACAGACACATTTCCTTTCACTGCCCTGCTTCTATTGTTCGTTGCGTGATAAAAAGTATACTATAATCTGCCCAGGAGTATGAAGAATAATTGTACTAAGTTTCGTTAAAATCTGTCAAGTAGTTTTTGTTTCTATAACGAACATACAGACAGATAGACAGACAGGCAAAAATTGTAAAAAATGTTATTTTGGTGTATGTACCATGTATACGAGTATATTCATATACATGTAGTAAAAAACGGTTA